ACAGCCCTGGAGCCACAGCCCTGGAGCCACAGCCCTGGAGCCACAGCTCTGGAGCCACAGCCCTGGAGCCACAGCCCTGGAGCCACAGCTCTGGAGCCACAGCGCCTCCCTGCAGCTGCTGCCTGTGCGTGGCTCGTACCTCAGCCCCGTCCTGCGCCCCCGCGTGGCTCTTATGGACTTCTCCAGTCTCCAAGTCTTCAAAGTCACCATACAGCTCCTCTACATAAGATGGAGAGACAAGCAGACTGGTCAGAGGCTCCATCTGCCACTTTTGGAAGAAAAAGGGGCCCATTTGGAAGGACTGGACCCACTACTCCACCACAGAGTAAAAGCAGACCTAAAGAATCCCGGTCCTGAATGTTTGGAGGCAGTAAAGAGGGGTTTCCTACCGTCCTGCTTGAGCAGCGTGGCTGCATCCTGGTCCTCCTCCCACTTCCCCGTCACAAAGCAGTCCCTGATGGAGTCCATCACCTGGGGAGGCCAGCAGACGGACCGGTTACAGACACAGAACCAGAGGCCTCGGCGGGCCGGTGGACACCCACCTCCTCCAGCTCCCAGCTGTGGGGGCTGTCCGGGGGGAAGCGGGAGCAGTCCAGAGCGTTGGCCTGAAAGCGTTTGCTCTTCTGGGGGCGGCTGACGCGGAACAGCCCCCCCACCTCCTCCTCCTCATCCCCAGAGTTAGCCTCCACCACTACAAAGCACAGGACGACAGCTTAGTGAGGACTGTGGGGAAATCCATATAAGTAACATCACTTTCTCTAGGGAAACTTTCCACAAGTGCATATTCTGAAGGTTCTTTTTCTTTCTCATGGGACCCTTTCCTCTTTCAAGGTCTCAGAGAAGGTCCCCTTATACGTTATAAGCCCCAGAAGATGCCTAAAAACAACACCTGATGGTGGGACTCTGGCCAGAAACTGGTGGATGGGGGGGGGGGGGGGGTCTTCACTGGAAACCAATGAGAAGCTGTTCTGCTGCAAATGTTTAAGGGCTCCAATGCTGACATGCTGAGAGGATTTACAGTGAAATTCTACCAATAATGTGCCTTTTTTCTCTGCTGAGCGCCCTTGGCTCTGGACCCTGATCCTCAGTGACCACAGTGGGTCCCACAGCCTGTTCCTGTGGGGTTGGACGCAGATAGACTCCCTGTAGAAGCCCTGACCCGGACCTGAGCCCCCCCGTACCTGCCCCGTAGACCAGCTTCCTCAGGTTAGGGGCGGCCTGCTGCTGCCGTAGGAAGGCCTCTGCAGCTTTGTGCTGGAGGCTGTCCTTCCACCGGAGGGCCCCTGAGGACGCAGAGAGAAGAGAAGAGAAGAGAAGAGAGAGGTTGGTAAGACTTTTAGGAGTAAGCTTCAAATGTCTTTCAGCTGTGCGTGTTCAGGGTTCAGCTGGAGACAGGCCTGGGACATTTATCCATTTCCATTTTATTCGCAATGTAAAATTTCTCTATGATTATAAATGAGACAGCCAAACCGTAAAACCTTCTACGACTTTAAAAATGAGCCAGAACTCGGTAGAGGGGAGCTCTGACAGGAATCAGGGGTAAAAGCTGCCCAGCAGAAGGACGACATGGTAGAAAAGAAGGGCCTGAGAAGAGGAACTTTGGGTGTTTGAAGTGGGACGAACAGCAGAGTAACACACAAACTGTTGAAGGAACGGAGCTCCTAAAACAGGAAACACCAGCTATTTATGACTGTTAAACTAATTTGGTTTATTACATTTGTAATATTCACGAAAGGAAAAAAAGAAAAAGGTTTTGTTCATATCGTGACATAAAATCAAACATTTTGGGGGAAAATAATCTAAATATAAGCCCTACTGGTGTGTTTCCTTGGTCATTATTGCTGGAAGAAGCAGAATATCCAGCTGCTTTTCAGCTGCATGTGTAATAACCAACTACAACTATGGATTTTCTGGACCTAAATGTCATTTTGACTAATCATTTGTTATAGATATATACAGACTCCAGCGGATCACCAGAGAACTGGTGTGTAGATCTGGTGCACATTGCTTATCCTGTCCTCTGGGGTTGGGGGTTCTGGTTACAGTGTCTCCCAAACGTCCTCTGCACCCACCAGATTTCATTCTTTTCTCACTACACTTGACATAAACTGGGGAAGGAACTGTGATCTTCCTTCCCCTGCAGGATGGCTGGCTTGTGTCCATTTAGCCCCTCAGCTGTGTGTGTGTGCTGTGTATCTGTGTGCTGACACACTGTGTCTGTGTGGCCTTTCCACATTAAACCTAAGTTTCTAGATGAATTCTGGTGTGACTGATGTTTTTTTCCTTACATGATGCTTTCTTTTTTAAATGTTGCTCCTCGTACGCTACAAATGAAGAAACTCACCCTGCTCCTCTTCCTCATCCTGTCTCTCGTTTTCCATCATCATCAAATCTTCAGCCTCAGCATCCTCCTCTTCCTCATCTTCAGAGCAGTGTCCAGAGTCCCCTGCTCTTCCTCCCTCCTCCTCCTCCTCACTCAGCTCCAGCTCATCCTCACTATCAGCAAAGGCTGGCAGCTCGCCCCCCCCCGGCTCCCTCCCCTCCACCCTCTGTTTTTTCTCCGGTGGACACCCGCCGCCTCCACTCAGCTCACACGACGCTCTGGTTTCTTTGAGGAATGCCGATAAATCATCATCGTTATCTTCATCCCCTTCTCGGTCAGTCACATCTCTTTCTTCTCCATCTTCATCATCATCGTTATCTTCGTCCCCTTCTTGGTCAGTCACATCTCTTTCTTCTCCATCTCCATCTTCATCATCCTCTTCATCACTGCTAGCATCACTATCCTGGGTCTCCTCAGTAAAGACCACCTTCCTTCTTTCTCTTTGGATGTTGGGATCCCACACGCCCTCCTCCCACATTTTTTTCTGCTCTTCTCTAAAAACAAACAAACAAAAAAACATAAAAAGAGAGTTTCAGTTTTTTTTTGCATGTATACACATGTGTGTGTATATATATATATATATTAGAGGTGGGACGGTTCACAGAATCCACGGTTCTGTTCGATTCACGGTTTCGTGGTCACGGTTTTGGGTTGGGTTCGGTATATGTTGATTGTTAGGAAAAATCTATTATGTCTTGTATAGTCAGGTTAAAACTGAAAGAAAAAAGCAGTGTGACATGTGATCCATTACTGTGACAGTCTGAGGTTAAAGTAGGTGAGATTCTGCCAGAGAGGAAACAGAGCTAATTCCAACATGTGCTTCCCTCTAAATGCAAACTGGTTTCCTACTGGTGGTTGGCTTTGGGCGCAGTAGCGCCCCCTTCTGCTCTGGAGTGTAAACGCTTCCCTCTGAGAAAAAGGAGCAGCAGGAACCCAACCAACACACGCCAACCCAACCCAGACAGAACCCAACGGTTCAGACGGTTTTCAGAAACCCTCCCATCCCTAATATATATATATACATATATATATATATATATATATATATTAGTTTATTTCTTTGTTCCAATTTAAAATCATTGTAAATATTTCTAATTTGAGCTCCCTGACCACTTGATTTCCCCTCATGTGGGATGATTACAGTATTTCTGTTTCTGAATCCCTTCTTTCCTGTTGGTCTCTGGAGGACTGAGGACTGAGGGTCCTGTCTGGGCGTGTGGGGGCTCACCCGCTCTGCTCGGCGCCGTCTGTGGGATCCAGGGTGGCCGAGCCTCGAAACAGAGACACCGTACTGGCAGCCATTTTGGCGTCCAGCGTGGCGTGCGTGTCGATGAGGGACTGGACCAGCTCTGTGGTGGGGCGCAGCTCGTCCTGCAGAGGGGGGGGGTAGACACGGGTCAGGGCGGGTCAGCGGGGGGAGCGGCGGGCGGGTCAAAGGCGGGGCAGCCGGTACCTGCTGCTGGGAGACGTGGCCGGCAGGCAGGTCGATGTACACGGCGTCCCGGTCGTACACCACCCCCCCCACCCCCGCCATGGGGGCGTAGAGCAGCCGCTCCTTCTCATTCAGAGCCCTCTTCTTCTGGGCGTCTGGCAGTGGACACGGGTCGGGCAGGAAGTGGACGTCCGTCACCTGGAAGTCCCCCACGCCTGCAGACAGCACAGACAGGGCGTTACATCCCTCACAGCATCACCCAGAGACACGCAGCCAGGAGGAGACCCCGTCTCCAGACTGTGAGTCACAGTTTTTTTCATCGTTTGGCCGGGAGCGACTTATTGTTAGATCATTTCACATGTTATTTCCACCCTGAACCACCAGAGGGCGCTCCAGGCCTGTGTTGATCATTAAACACTGGTGGTAATTTTCTAAAAACAGCTCAGAAGGGCTTAGCAAAAATGGCACCAAAAAGAAAATCATACTTCTGCAAGTTACAAGATGCAAGTAGTAAAATATGAAGCGGGAAACGGTAATCGAGCAGCAGAAAGAGTTTGGAGTTAGAGAGAAACTTAAGCAGAGGTTACTCTGACTGAGATAAAGGAAACAAACTTTTTATGGCTGGTGCGACTTATAATCCAGACAATACTGTCCATGAGGACTGGACGCCTACCTGGGATGTGCACCTGGCCCTTGTTTTTCAGGTGAGTCCCTCTCAGGTACCCATAGAGGGACACGGTCCGGTCGCAGCTGGGCAGGGTCCGGACCGTCTCGGGGTCCGTCAGGTCCTCCATGCTGCAGGGGGGGAGCACACTCACAGTGGGCACTCACCTCCCAGCCCCCCCCACAACTCCGTCAGGGTCATTACACCCCCGCATCAGCATGCCCCCCAACCACAGGAGCCCTGCCTCCCCCTCTGCCTACAGGCTGGGGCTGCTCCCACCACCACCATTAAGGCCCCCATTCCCACCCAGCTGGAGGCGGAAGCCTTGGAACAAACCATTGTTCCAAAGACTGAGCTAGGTTCAATTGAGCCCCAACTTATTTAGTCATTTTAATGTATTATTTGTATTAAGTTAAATATGATTTTGCTTCTGTTTGTTAGGTTTTGTTTTTGTTGTATATCTATTATGTTCCTCCAGGGGGGAAGTTGAGGGCAGACCACCCCTATTGAAGCAGCCTTGGTTCAGTCTGGAGGTCAGTTTGTGTTTGGTTGCTGTTCAGTTGACCTCAGTTGAGTTACAGTATTTATTATTGACCGTTATATTGTATTGAAGTTTGACCTTTTGTTTACCATGTTTGATATTATCAAATTAGACTTTTTCTCGTTTTTGGAACAACAACCTGCTACTGTGCATGGGAGGAACGTTTGGATTTGTTTCTCTCCCTTGTGTTGCTCCATCAGATAAAGACTTGTTGATATGATCAGAACAATAAAGTGGGGGTTTGGTCTAAAAGCAGCGCACTCACCGGTCCACCAGCACGTAGGGGTGGGACGTCTGCCAGACCAGGGGGCGGAACTTCATGACAGAGATGAACCGGCCCAGGTTCTTCACCTCCTGAGTCTGGTACTCCCCGTAGACCATGCCCGACAGGTAGAACAGCTTGGCCCCCTGGCAGGGGCAAACAGAGCCCATTAGCCCGCCCCCCCCCCCACCGGGAGCAGGGCGGGCCAGCAGGTCCTGGGCTACCTGGTACACTTCGGTCCAGAAGCGATGTTTGAGCGTCTTCTTGGTTCTCCTCAGAGCCTTGTTGTTCTTGAAGGAGTCCAGGTGGGTCAGCACCCCCATGATCCGGGGGAAGCCGTGCACCTGGCAAATGTTGAGAAACTCAAACGTCTCCATCTCAAAACCGAAGCTGGCATCGATCAGCATCAGAACCTGGACAGCAGAGAGGAAGATGGTTGGAGTCATCACGCCAGCTTTGGCTTTACAGTTCCTGCTAAAGCCCGTTTAAAGTAGCTGTAGGACGGAGAGCAGGCGGTCTCAGAGGCTCAGACCTACCAGGTCAGCCACCTTGGCCAGGTCGATCATGGCGTTCAAGTCGTTGTTACACTCCATGAAGGTCAGCCGGCGCTTTTTGCCTGGAAAAGCACAACAGAGTCATTCATCCCAAACCAAGACCAGCACGGCCTCCCTGAGAGTCCACAGGGTCCCACCTCTGCCCCCCCCACTAATCCAGCGTGCTCCCTACTTGTTCATGACATTTGCTTCTGTTACTGCCCCATACTGGTGCTTCCTATCCTGTTTACGGCTCTGAGGGCCGGACCTACCGGAGACCACGGTGACCGGCCCCTGGATGTCCCCCAGCTTCTGCCGGGTGAAGTTCTTTATCAGGCAGCGGATCAGCGTGCTCTTCCCCACCTTGGGAGGCCCCACCACCACCACCACCACGGGAGGGGGCTCCAGCGGGGTGCGGTCCACCAGGGGGACGTGGTGCTTCTTGGTTTTGATGTCCTGGGCCCTGAGGAGGAGACGGGTAAGCGCTGAGTCCCGGGGGGCTGAGCCCTGGTCCCGGGGGGCTGAGCCCTGCTCCCGGGGGGCTGGGCCCTGGTCCCGGGGGGCTGAGCCCTGGTCCCGGGGGGCTGAGCCCTGGTCCCGGGGGGCCCCGGCCCCCCCCGCCCCGGTGGCCCCGGCGGCCCCCACCTGTGGAAGGTCTTGGCCATGCGGACGGCGGACTGCACCGCGAAGGCCTTGGGGTTGCGCTTCCGCCTGTCATCCTCGGTGGAGGCTCCCTGCTTCCTCAGCTTCTTCCTCTGGGCTTTGGGCCCGCTGTGCTTCTGCTGGTGCTTCCGCTGTTTCTTCACCGTCTCCTCCATGATGCCTCCTGAAACACACCCGGGTTTTAAGGGCCTGCGACGCCCGGCCCAACCGGCCGGGGTCCGGAGACAGCCGGGGCCGTGGACCCGGACCTCAGGGGCTCCGACACCGACACCCCAGAAGCACCAGCGGTCCTCCAGCTCAAGTCTCCTCTCCCCCCGTGGCTGCTTACCGGAAGCCGGCCGGCGGAACCTACCTGTCCCGGGGACAGCAGCTCCTGTCTGCGGTCTCAAACCTCCACGGCCGTCGCTCTCTGCTCCACGGAACTCTCCTCCGTGTTTTCTTCCACTCAACGGCTACGGTACCTCACGTGTGCGCGGCGGCCTCTGACCCGGAAGTGTTCCGTCCCGTAGCGCCGTGTCCCACTGAGGCCAGCAGAAGGAAGGTTCCGCCTGGTGAACAGGACACCGGGGCGCCCCCTGTCGTCCGCCAGGGACGTTACAAAGGACTGGTTCCTGCTTTCCTGGGCTAACAGATCAAACTGGCAGATGGCGATTTCTTTACCAGCTAATCCAAGAAGAAAGAAAGGTCAGGCAACTGGACCAAGGCTCTCCGAACAGACAGAGGCATTCAGAGATGATTGATCAGCTGCTTTGCATTTTGTAGAAGAACTTAAAAAAAAACTGCACATCAGGCATTTTTCCTATTTTAAGTTGGACATTCTTTCATCATGATCAACTAAAAGCAAATACTTTGATTAGGCTATGTTGACAATTCTGGCTCCTAATTAGATGCAGAAATCCACCACATGTTTGTGAAACAAAAACATAATTATTGAAGTGATCTGGCCTCCTATCAGAAACAGCTCCATATAAAAACAATCCTTAACACATTGCTGCTTCTAATGCTAAAACACAACCTTTGTGTCCCTAAGAAATACAGAAACACATCAGCCATCGAGTCATCGAGTCATTTCATCCAAAAGGTGTTTGCCGTTCCAGCCATGGAGGATTGTAGTTAACCAATAAAGATTTAGACCACACTGGCCCTCCTTTGAATCTGAATCTGTTGGTATTATAGTACCAATGTTTTCTACACACTGACGGAGCATTTGTCTTAGAGCTGCAGTAAAAATATCCCCCACTTGATGGTGCCAGCAAACAGAGGACATTCCTGAGGTTAATGAGCAGCTTTGCTGCTTAGAAGTGATGATTCAGAGCCAGTCGGACAAAGGGCGTAAACAGATGAAGCCCAGTCAGAGGAGGATGTGATGAACACGTCTGTTTACCCCGTGTTTGACGCAGCTGACCTGAATCTCTGCCTTTTAATGCCAAAATATATCAGTATGATTACAAATACTGTCGTCATCATCATTGTATCCTCCTTTAGAATCACGATTGTTCCAATTTGCAAAATGTTATGAAGAGTCCAGTGAAGCCTCAGCTGCCTTTGAACTTCCTCTCTCAAACATGGAGTGCTTGTTGTCCTTTGGATGATCTGTTTTCCACTCGGTCTGATATATCATTACCTGTTTATGGGATCTGGCACTCAGCCCATCTCCCACTACGACAGAGAGCTGAACCTGGTTCCAGTCACCATCGTTTGCATTTGTAATTTGAGTTCATATATACTTGTTATGGTCAGAAAACACTACAAATGAAAAAATATTGAATATATAATATTTATTCAAACACATGACTGTTGGAGATTTAGATAACGTTTTAATGTGTTTATCAATTTTCTTTTTTCAGATTTAGCTGATTTTAATTGAGATGGCCAGTATCATGAGCAGATGAGTTCAAGAAAAAAACACATACAAGTTTGACCAAATATGACTTACATCATTATTTTATAGATATACATATGATGTGCATGTGTGTGTATGTAAACATATAAAGCTTTACAGATAGAAATGAAAAATACTGCCCTAAGTAAACCACTCAAAAACAGGAGTACACGTCTTCAATTCTCTCATTTCTTGACTGATTAGCAGTTCAGTTTAGAAATGACCACAAAATCCTGGTGGAAACCTCTACAACTCACTGTTAAGCTCATCAATAATTATTAAAGCCACACTCTTCAGCTTCTTGCTTTCACATTTTAATGGATATTTTTGACTTCTTTCAAAAGCAATGGATGACTTTTATTTGAGCAAACCCATAATAAACCCAGTTCATGTTTATTTAACCTTTGAACTTCATCGTAAAGCACTTTGGGTGCTTCACGGCTGTCAGATGAATTATCTTTACTAGCTTATCTGAATATTGTTCATCAACTCTTCAAATTACAATTACACCCCATCTCTGACTGTCACCATCTAAATGTTGGTGAAGATGAACTTGGTTTAACCATAAAAGAATTGTCCACAAAATATGAAACTATCATTTGTTTTATCAACAAATTGAGCAATAGAAGAGCCCACACGTCCAGCAGCTCCACACCTACTCCGGCTCTGAAACGCACCCACAAATAAACTGAGTTGATGAATGGGTCCATTTTGGGTGCTGTAGTATTTGCAGTAAATGATCTGTCATTTATTGGTAAAGGTAGATGAAGATGGAGAGAGATGAGGAGATGAATGAGACCATAACATGGCCAATATTTCCACCTCACTAGCTCTGGCTGGAACAGATGAACCACAAACAAGCAGTAAGTACACGCTGGAGTCCCCACGTCTGAGCCTGCAGCCTAACTGTAGCATCACATAAGCCAGCCAAAGTTATCCCACACAAAACAGCCTCTGGAGGACTGTTTAGGGTCACATTTTAGTCAAATGCTATTAGATATGAGGAGAAACGCAAATACACTCTGTCAAATGTTGGTAGCTATACCTGAGAATGGACGGTTTAGAAGCAAAGCGGAGAGTTTTAGTAGCTGCCAGTGTCTTTTGCTGCTTACAAACATAAACTAACAGGACCTGAACATGGAGGCGATGTGTGAGGAGTCATGGTGAGAGACTGAATATAACATGAACACACATCATGTTGGCTATAACAGCTTTAGGGGAAACAACACTCTGCAGTAGATACTGTAAATACATTAAGGAAGCACCTCAATAAATGACTATTAACATGTTTCCAGTTCTGTAACACAGGTCCCAGCCCTCCAGCAGAACCTCGGTGGCCCCATTCAGACGAGCAGCCATTCTGATGTGTGTGGATTTTCTGTTGGGCTGGTTTCTTCTTTCTGTTTACAAAATAAATGAGGAGCTCCAGTTTCAGTCAGTATTTTGTTTCCTGGAGGTTTTCTATCTAAATGGAATTAATGTTTTCTTTTCTACTTTCATATATCTATATGTTTATGTATATGTGCATTTGGCAGCTTCTTTTATCCAAAGCAGAGCCAATGTTCCAGTTCTCATCAGTTCTCTGGAGGAAAACCCCCAGCTGGACTCAGCTGGTTGTGGGGCCCGGTGTGTTTGACTGAAACTGCAGTCACAGCCTTGCAGAGCACTGATACAGCCGTTCTGCTGTTTTGGGGAGTCTGGAGGAGGAGGAGCACAGGTTTCGGGTGGAGAATGGGATGACGGATGTCTGAGGCTGCTGCTCCGCTCTGTCTTCCTTTGCTGTGCTCCTGTGTTCCTCACAGCCTCTCAGGCCTCTCAGGCCCGGGCTGCAGACCCCCACCACCTCGCTGAGACGTCTGGGTGGGGAGTAATGAGCCAGAACTCTGCACACACTCTTTTTGTTACACACTCCGGCACATATAGATGGGAGTTCATTCTGTGAGTTATTTCTGATGAATAAGACTCGTTCCAGGGACAGTCCGGGATTGGATCCAGTAATGCCTGTGAAAGCTCTTTATTTGGCTTCTGAACACTCCAGCTTGACTCTTATTCAGAAATCTTGTGTTGTGAAGTTAACTTTTTAGCCAATCAAATGTACGGTAATCCACCAGTTGAAATTGTATGATTTCCCAAAGTTTTGTGGAACCTTGTGAAACAGTTTGCACTAGGAAAGAAATACACAACATTAACCGTATATCACAAACACACTGAAGAAGTGAGGAGTCAAAGGCTTGACTGGCTGTTTGTATCCGTCATTAACAGCCAGTCAAATCATGAATTTCTTCAAATTCCTGTCACGACAAAATGGCTGTAAATGTATCAGGTGAACTCAGTGTCTTTAATAATTGGGAGCTTTGAGTCAAACGAGCGGAAGCAGAATAATAAAATGAAGAGAATCTGAATGTGTTGACCATCCTCTCTGGTGCCTGAACAGTTTGACTGCATCATTATTATCATTATTATTATTATCTTCTCATCCTCACCCTCTGTGGTGGGTGAGTTGTGCTGCCCTGCGGTGGACGCTGGCCTCCTCTGTGCTCGGGTCATCAGTCTTCCTGGACCTCTGTCATGAGTCTGGGTGGTTGTTTTCTTTGACCTCTCTTACAAAAACTCCTAAAGGAAAAACTAATGCTGATAATCAAGTGGTCTCTATCCATCAGGTTCACAGTAAAGTGTAAAACGACGGGGCAGAACCGGCCCATTTGTCAGTGCTGCTTCAGAGCCAGTGTTAGCTCAGAGCTCAGGATGAGCCCAGCGTCTGTCTGCTGGACTCTACCGGGCTCATATCCTCATGTGCTTCTTTTCACCCTGAATTTGCTCTTAAATGTTCATATGAATTATATATGAACATTCATATTCAATTATATTATAATGGATTAGCTGCACAATAACACAGCTGCATGTTATTGCTTCATCTCATCAAATGCTGAAAAACATCAAGATTAGATTTGATAAGAGTTCAAAAGTATTTCAAGCATGAAAAAACCCAGAATAAACTATTTCTGTGTCAACCAAACAAAAACAAATCCTCGTCAATGCAAATGTATTTTAGGTAAATTTCTATAATGTCGAAGTCATAAAAAGACACATGTAAAATATAAAAATCAAATCAAAATACCTAGTCTGAGTAGGTGTAGGTATCCTGTCTAAAGTCAGAGTGAGTTAGGGCTGGTCCTGTATCTCAGTCTCCACCTCTACCTCCGTTCTTCAGTCTCTGAGCTAAACGGCCAATAAAAACCCTTTTTATTGATTATTTCTTTATAATTTATTTATTTTTACATCTCTCTTCTAAAAGTCATTTGTTTTCTTGCTATGTGTAATTATCTGCAGTATTTATTAAGGAGTTATCGTAGGTTTTTGGAACCAATTCTAGGAATTACAGAGTATTCTGATGGAAGATTTGAACTAATAAACCAATATTTAACACAGAAGTGGCTCCTGGACCCAGTTAGACTCTGTGGAGGTTTTGCTGTACATGTGATCATTACAGTAACAACCAGGTAGTAAAATAATGACACTAACATCCATCCATTTTCTACACAGCTCCTTCGTTGGGGGGCCGGAGACTTTCCCAGAATACAGCAGCTCAGGGGCGGGTCCCCCCTGGACAGGTCTGCAGTCCATCACAGGTTCACAGAGACACACAACTACACGACCACAGTCTCAGGGACCCCCCCTCTGTCTTTGAGAGGTTCCTGTCAGAAATGGAAACTGAAGGCAGGAGTCAGTTGCAGGGATCTTTTGCAAAA